GCTGCATTTGCTGTCCCAGAACTACTGCTTCGGATGGACGATATCTCAATTTAGAGGCAATAATTTCTGCATTGCAGGTAACCTGATATGGGTTCCCAGCTGGCCGTACTGGGGGTCTTGCTGTGCTCTCAGGCACAGACCATCAACACAGGCTCAGAATTAGAGGTAACACTTAACAATGAAGAAACTGGACGACAGCTAATGAGGTCATTCTGGGATGGAGCAGGTGCATAGGTGTTTTCTTTCTGCTTAAGGAACCACTCCCCCTGCCCCCCCCCCCACATCTCATCATTCATGTTTTGCCTTCTCCTTGAGGAAAAAGAAAAGCCCCCAGATTGCAGCTTATTTAAGGATTTCTAGGCTGTGCGTACAACCCCTGGTACTGCCTTTGAGTTGCCTCCAAGCTGTAGACTTGCTAAGGGACCCACTGCTACCAGGGACTCACTTGGCCTCGGGTTCCTGGGCTTTGAGGGCTGGAGGCACCACCAGCAGAAGATACAGCAAGGACTGGCAACATGGAGTCTCCTCCTTCCAATTCTCCTTTAAAGCTATTTCTAACATTGTCTTACCAGCTGCTGGAATGGCTTCAACGTCAGTGGAAACCTCCAGCTGCTGCCACCTTAATATCTCACTAGTGCTTCTGGGCATTGCTTGTCCTCTGTGACGAGCTACACCCACCCGTGGCAGCTCTCATAGCATTGCTCAGGACAGTTGCTCGGATTTCCAAGTGTGCCCTGCAGCCTCTAAATTAACCTACCTCTGGTCTCCTGGATCCTTCTACAGGAGTTTTCTCCATCCTGGTGCCTCACCAACTTTTGAGACTATAATTCACAACGTCCCTGTTCATTAGCTGTGCTGGCTGAGGTTGATGGGAGTTGATGTCCAAAATATCTGGAGGGGACCACACTGGGAAATGTTGCTGCCGAGTGCCATCAGCAGAACCAGCTCACAGAGGGATCTTGTAGAGAATACATACCTGATGCCAGTCTTCCCCCCTGCCCTCATCCCATCCCACCCACCTTGAATGGCCCATAGAAGTTCATGGCTAATTCATTGTATCCATATTTCTGTTCAGTTAGTACTTCATGAATGCCTTCCTAAAGCACCGCTATGCAATTGTGAATATGCCCACGGTGTCATGAGAATGTGCCCATGTAGTGCCACTCCAGAGTATCTGCTCGTATGTCTGTTCTGAAACAGCAAGTCTTTTGCCGTTTCGATTGCTCCATTTTCAGCTTTCAAGGCCTTCTGCTTATATTAAGGTGAGCCAATAATCTTCCTGATTCATTTGCCCTATACACAAGAGCCTTTATCTAATGAAGAGTACAACATACTATGTGTCATGTGTCCCCCCACCCCCACCCTAAAATTAGGGCCTCTGGCAGTGCTTTCACAATTTTACTCTCTTGGAGCAATAAGTTGCCAGTTAAGTTTTTAAAAAATGCAATTCCCAGTCTTGCTTTTCCAACTCCAGCTGTTCATATTTATATTTTTTTATGATTTTGGCTCATATAGGATTATACGGCCTTTATAGCTTTATGGCTTTATCTTATGCCTGCATATGCTGGAATTTTTCTTTTATATCATTTTCCATGTGCATTCTACAAAACTTTTTTTTTAGAGCAGCATAACATTCTCTGATGTCTGTTGTCTGATCGTTGGAGAATTTAATTCTCATAAATTAAGGTTCATGGTCTACTCTGAAAATGCATGCATAATATCCTGGCAGAAGGGATTTGCTATTAACGTTGAATGATCAATTCTAATGTACACTAGTGTTCTCTCAGGAAAGAGAGCCAATCTCTTTTTACCAGGATGCACAACCATCCAGAAATAGGCCAGCCTGCATCCCAAAGTGCTTGCACTAGTAGCACTATAGGACACAATCTGTGTAAAGTTTATATTTCTTAGAAGCATTATTTTCACATTCTAAATCAGGGGGAGGCAACCTGGTATCATCCTGGACTACAACTTCCATCAGCCCCAGGCAGCAGGCCAAATGGCCAAGGATTATGGTGATTTTAAATGTTTTCCATTCTTCAGACATCCTCTTTGTCTTTACCATGCTAAGCCTACAATTCTTTCCATGACCCCACCCCCCCACAAAGTGCTATGCAGTCTTTTCCACTCTGATCATGGTCAGTGTTATAAAGAGGTACAACGCCATTTTTGCAATTGATATGAACAGATCAAAAGCATTAGCTACCTTTTCAGTTTTTATAAAGATTTCATTAGCTTCCAGTTACACTAAGATGGCACAGGGATGTTAAAATGCAGGTGGTCACATGGTATTTTGGTTTTCTTCCTCCTTTGTGAGAATGCTCCTTTAGACAGATGGCTGTTCAAACTGATGGCATCATTCTGTCTCTTTGCTTAAATTCCCCACATTTCTAAACCTCCTGTTATTCTATGTCAGTGGTAATATGCAGGCTACATGTACCTTCCAGCCAGGAATTTTTGCTGTTCCTGCTGGATCCCCTGCCTTCATGTCAGAGCTCCCCACCACAGATGCACAGGTGGGTTCCTAGCAGTTCTGATGAGATTCAAGGCACATGGGAAGTGCCTTGCTCCCCCCAGCAGAATTGTAACCCACACCTGCCAAATAGCTGTTTAGTTGGCTGAGAGGGACATGTAATTCTGCTGTGAATGCAGACACGTATCCACTTCTTTTTGTGCTGTTGCCACGTCCAGTTACAGCTGTGGATAAAGAGGACACAGCCCTTCCAAAGTTGCCTACCCAGTTCTAGGTCTTACAACATTTACATGGTTGATTATTTATTTCTTAAATTTCTATCTTGCCTTTTTTTCAAGAACTCAAAGTAGCTTACATCATTCTCCTCCTGCTGCTCTCAATCTTATCCCTGCAACAACAACCCTGTGAGGTATATTGGGCTGAGAGTCTGTGGCTGGCCCAAAGTCAACCAGTGAGCTCCATGGACAAGTGGGGACTAGAACCCAAGATCGCCCAAGTCCCAGTTCTGAACTCTTAACCACTATACCACACTGGCATAATATAAGCCCTTTTCATCTCTTTAGCACTCTAAATGGGGACAGAAGCTTAATTCCTTGCCCCAACCTGCTATCATGCTTTTGAAAGCATGGAACATTTTGTGGAGAATTAACCTTTCTTTCCAATTTACCATTGAGCTGGTTCAGACTTGTTTATTTGCTTATTTATTTATTTGTATTTCTATACTAACCAAGCACCAGGGCTCTTTTGGCAGTTTATAACAATTCATACGATAAACCACAGTCTACAACAGAAATAATGATTAAAAGTCATAACACAACATTTCACAGAAATGTGAAAAACTGAATTTAAATGCTTTAAATAACTAAGACCAATTCATACAATTAGGCCTACTAAAAACAAGAGAAATATCTCCCCACAGACATGTTGGGAAGAGCTGTAGAATGATTGGGCATAGATGGCAGTCATAACCAGCACTGAAAGGATAGTAGAGATGGTGCCAGGGAGACATTTCATGGTTTGAGGGCTGCCCAAGCAACCTTGACACTAAGTGTTGAAGAACAAACCACCATTTTCCATATGCTAACATTGTAAACTGTTATTGGAAACCATAGTTTAATCTCGGTCTGCTAAGAGAAGAGAGGAAGGAGTTAATGGGATGTGTGTGAGGCCCCTTGAGGGCTTTTTCACATAATGCTAGCTGCATTGTATCTGAATCAGCCTAGAGAAGTGTGCTGTCACTGCAATGAGACGATATTCTGCTGAACCTGTGGCCAAGTGGTGAACAAGCTTTTAATCTCAGCCTGGTTTCAAGGTGGTGGAATTAAGCTGATAGGATGAGATTTTAGTATTTCCTCTGGTTGTTAGGCAAGGCTCTGTTTAGGGAACAAGTAAGCAGATGCTTTTCTTGTGTTTCTGGTCACATGAGAATATTCTCCTGGAGGTTTTTCATATCTCCTGCACCAGAGGTGGAGTTCTACACCCAGGGTGGGAAACAGCTGGCCCTCCAGGTGATGTAATCCAACAATTCCTGTAATGCCTGATCTTTGTCTATGTTGAAATGCTCCGATGGAAGTTAAGTCCAACACATCTGTGCTGTACACAATGCATCATATTCAGACGTAGTCCGCTCATCTGAGGATGCTCAGACATTGAAGCTAAGCAGGTCTGGGTCTGGTCTTCAAACTAAGGGGAGACTAAGGGGAGACTACCCGGGAACCTCATGTAACCAGCTTGAGTTCTACAGCGGGAGAAAGGTGGGATGTAAACATAATAAATAAATAAATGAGCCCTCCTTTCTTTGTTAGCACTGGGGACAGAGAAAAGTTCTTTTCTCTACCCTAGGGCTGATAGAAACTTATATCTCAGCAGTAGGGCCGAGAAAACATCCACCCAGATGTTTTGTATATACCAGTTGAGAAGCAGGACTGGTGATGGGATATGTATCTATGTGTATGGAAATATGTGAGCCATGGATGCCTGCAGAGACCTCAGACACATGTGGGGGAGGTTGGTATGTGGTCCCCATATCCCGACAGGATGAATTTCCCCATCAGTTTTCCTACCATTTGTCTACTCTGTTTATTCAGTGGGGATGCAATAAACAAGATTAAATCTAGACCCACCCTTCATACAATCATTTAAACAATTAAATGGACCTGCTAGGAATACATGCAAAAGGGCTCAACTCCCTTTGTTTTGAAAAAAAAAAAAAAGGTAGAAGGAGAGGGTTTGATCCTTGTTGATAACAAGGCTATAAATGGCACCAGCTACAAAGAATAACATAACAACAGTATGCCTAAAATGCTTTGCCTTCTCTCTTTCCCCACTCCCCAAGTATTCAATGTGGCCAAGAGAAGGCTTTACTTCTTTTATCCAGAGCCCTGATGCTCAAGCAGATTCTGTGTCTCTCCCCTGCTAGACTGAGATTTTTCATGTCACCATTACCCCAAGAGGCCAGATGTTCACAAAATATATAAAGACAACCCTCACTTTTTCTTTTTGCAAGCCTTTATATTCGTACGCCAAGATGTCCTGCAAATCCCATCATCGTGGAACCAAGATTGTCAGTGAAGAAAAGAAAAAAGGACTCCTTTTATTGACCCGGATGTCATGGACACAATTGGATGAAGATTTACCAGCTCCCAGAGTAACAGTAGATGGTCCCCTTTCTACTCCTTATCTTGGTAAGAAATACTAAGAAGTGTTAAGGATCCATTCCTTCCTTTTTTTTCTGCAGAAGTCCTCCTATTGTGACCCCAATGGCCCATGGATGCTTATCCATATTTGGATTGTTTCTACACACATCTCTAAATTTTCTGGGCTGCTGCTAAGCTCTTGCTTATGTTTGAGTTCTTTTTTGCCTCCCTGGAGCATCAGGGCCTTCTCCTTGGTGGTTTCTGAAGTGCTGCTTCAACTCTTGGCTTTATTCCCATCAGCAGAAACTGAAACTCATGTATAACTGAATAGTAACATCCTTTTTTGCCTTCCCAATTTGATGTAATATTTAGAGGGCAAACAAGATCCCCGTGGGAAAATAGCCACTGAAATAAAACACCTTTAGTAGGATTTTATTGTGTGACTATAGGTTGTATCAATATTAATTCTGAATATTGTTACAGGCAATAGATCAGAATTTATATAGATGTCCCTAACTGGCATCGGAGAACTCTACTTTCAGTCTAAGCTGCTGAAGTGGACTATAGTGCATGAAAGTTTATGCCAGAATAAATGTGTTAGTCTTTTATAGTGCCACAAGAATCCATTGTTTGAGATTCCATAGTGGATCATGGCCAAACACTTCATGTTTGCATTTGTCCTTTCAGTCACTTGTTAATATTGAATTTGCTATCACTCATTTCACAGTTCTGTTTTTCTCCTTCATATTATCTATTTCCTTATGTTTCTGCCATGAAGGATTTCTACTAGATAAAATGAAAGTGACTAAGACATCAGTTTTTAGTAATTTGGTAACTTGCTAGTTAGGAGTTGGGAGACACAGGTTCAAATCCATACTTAATTATGAAACCAAGTGGCTGCTCTTGGACTGGGGATGAGAAAAGCAGCTATTTACAAGTTCTTCTCAATACTCCAAAAATCACTTTGAAGCTCATTTTGGGTTGCTCCCATTTTTATTTTTAGTCTGCTGTCGGTGATGTTTTTGCCTCAATGAGAAAAGTTCATATTTCAGTGTCTGTTTCAGTGCGCACTTCTCCCCTGTCCATTGACTAAAATGTGAAAAAATATATATTTATTTTAATTCATTTTTTAAAATAAGTACACCTTTCAGACTTGTTCATAAGTTCAGGAATTTGCAAACATTTCAAGAAAAGAGCCTTCATGATTGTGTGCACCTCCAGGCTTGGGAATGGGATGCTGTCTCAGCCTCGATTCCCTTATAGGATTGATATGAAGATAAAATGGAATGAGGAAAGGGCCATATACATCATTCAGCTCACCGGAGGAAGTGTTGGATAGAAGGATGGGGCAGGGCTCCTGCCAGATGAATCATATTCTACCCTTTCTCATTTTTAGTTGACTCCAGGGAAGAAAATCTTTGCAACTGGATGGATTCTGGTTTCTAGTAAGTATGACTAGTCCTAAATAGTAAGCAAGTATAAAAACCCTTCTATTGGTGTATTCTTATCTTCAGAATATATTGTTCAGGTGTTAGGAGCCCACTGTGCTTCTATAGTCCTGGGATCCCAAGAAAGCTTTATTGAAAAGAACTCCAAAACAGAAATGTGAAATCTATAACTGAGTAATTCCAAATATGTTTAAGACTTGTGACTTGATATGTAAGAACTGGCCTAGGAGAGAAAAGAAATACCATGTATTTATATCCGCTCCAGTATCATCAGTATCACTCGCTTTGGATCCATGAAGTTTTAACATCCCCACCCCTTCCTCCTGAACTGACTTATGAACGTCCATATATGCCCTCCCGCCCCTTGAGATCAGCAACGGATGCCCTTCTCTGGGAACCCTCTGTGAAGGATATTAGGAGGGTGAGTACCCGGAGGAGGGCTTTCTCTGTGGTGGCGCCCCACCTATGGAATGCACTCCCCAGAGAGGTCCGCCTGGCGCCGTCGTTATTTGTTTTTCGGCACCAGGCTAAGACCTTTTTATTTAAAGCTTATTTTAAGTGTTAATTTACTATGGAGGATTTAAAAAAAAAATTAAGCCGAGATGCACCGGGTTTTAATATTTTTAGTGTATAAATTTTTATATGATTTTGTTTGTTTTTGTTTTTGTTGCGAGCTGCCCCGAGGCTTTGTTGCGATGGGGGCGGCATAGAAATGTTTTAAATAAATAAATAAATAAATGAGACTTATCGAAGCTGCTGAAAGGGCTTCTTCTGTCTTCAGAATTTTACTGGCAACTCTCATTGAATCACATATTTTTCAATGGAAGAATGTCTTTTAAATGCATGAAACTCATGTTCAATATTCACAATCTGCATCTGATGAATCTGAGGCAGCCAGATTGTGAAGGGCTACAGAGAGTAGCTAACAATCAGGTTTGACAGTGACCAAGATCACACAAAATTCACTGGAGAAGACCCTGATGCTGGGAATGATTGACCGCAAAAGGAGAAGGGGATGGCAAAGGATGAGGTGGCTAGATGGGGTCACCGGGATGGTGGGGGTGGGCTTGGGTGGAGTCCGAGGGATGGTGGAGGACAGGAGAGTCTGGAAGAATGTTGTCCATGGGATTGTGATGGATCGGGCACGACTTTGCAACTAAACAACAAACAACAAGATCACACAATCACCACAGACCCCTGGGTGGCCTTACTGGTGGGCATTTTGAATCTTCATTGCCATGGTTTGTTGTGTCATCTTACCCTGGGAGGCACTGGTTATTTGACACCTACTTTGCAGGTTCAGATGACACAGCAAACCATGCCAGTCCCTGCAGAACTTTTGGAAAGGGTGAGAATTTTATATTCATGCCCAGGAGCTATGGCTAATGATCTCTTCTCAGCTTTCTTTTCAATTGAGGGAGGTACGTCCACTTTCTCTGCTATTTGACTTGTTTGGAACCCCTGAGTGTGCTGTTAGAGAATAATAACTTTCATGGCTTTGTGCATGATAGTTTAGAATTTAAAATTCTTTATGCTGATGAACTTTCATTGTTTATCATTAAACTTCAGTCTCTGATGCAGTTGATTGTGTTGCCAAAGGGCAATAGTTCTTTTCTCTTTAAGAGGGTTTGGAGGCAATAAGCAAATCAACTGAGTGAAGGCAGGAAGATTTTATTAAACCATAAAGGGATCGGGCAAAAGAATATGATTTCAAAGTACAATGCAAAGAGCAGGGTTTCACTATACAAAGCAAGACAGCTCGGCTTTTAGAGTGCAGATTATAAAGTAGGAGCAAGAGAAAGAGCAGTACTCCTGGCCCTGCTTCTTTTGGGAACAGCAGAGATAGGACAGTGAATGGATCCCTAGAAGGCATGTATGCCTTCTGATTGAGCAAAATAATATTTGAATATTATTATAAATATTGCACTGACATTCTGCTTTTCTTCATATTGCAAGTAACCCTTTGTGTTTTACTAGGTTCTCCTCCTCTCTATATTATCCCCACAAAAACAACCTTTGATGGAGGTTAGATGGAGAGACCAAAAGTAACCCAGTGACCTTCATAGCTGCATGTAGACTAGGAAATGTATCTCCTGAACCCCAGTCCAACACTCAAACCAGCATGTCTCAATGACTCTTAAGCTGTTAAGTTAATGAATGAAATCTCACAGAATATAAAGTTTAAAATTGAGTTCGTAGGGTGAGGTAAATACAGTTAAGATGAATATTGTTACACAGATTGTTTATGTTATGTGTGGGACCCTTCTGTCTACACCTGGCAACTATTTTCAAAAACCCAGTTCCCCGTTTTATAAATTGTGGAGGGGGCGGAGGAGTTTTTCCCCAACATAGTGTCTCTTTAGTGAGAATTTGTCTAAGTCAGTAGTTGCTGAGTAATGCATCTTTTAATATTTTGACAATGTCCAACAATTACTTTTTGGAGAGAGGGGTTACAATATGAATAACCTTTATATTGCAACATTTTTTTATATTTACTGATGGACATGTTTTCCTAAATTATTTACTTGTTAGTTAATGTACACTTAGTGGGAATGGATTCTCCTGGTCCTTTGACAGCTAAAAAACTGATATTACATTATTGGAAGGATAAACACTCACCTCCTGTAATGTAATAGACTAATTTTAAAGAGTCTTTCAACAGTTGAAAAAGTGGTATATAGACACCACTTGCAATTGGATGGATTTTTGGTCTGCCTTTGATACAGGATCCTTAGGAAGGTGTATTTTCATACACAAGCACACTTACTGTATATGGATGCATTGAAATTGATATGGTCAAATCAATGTAATTACCTTTTTTGTTGGTTTTGATGGTTTGCCTTCACTGAGATTTAATAATAATATATGATTCAAACAGAAATAAGTGGGTTAGAGTGCTGCATATTTATTTTTTTAAATTTGAACAACAATAACTGCCTTTTCCACCTTATTTTAACAGCTTGTCTGCAAGCAAAGATTTACAGGAAAAAAGAGACAACGGAGCAGGTAGGACAACACTTGCAGTGTATTTGACAATAATATGCTTAAGGAGGGTGTGGAAAGTAGGACAAAAGAAACCCTTCACAAAATAAACATTTGATTAAGCAGACTAACATCTACACTTGAGAAATACTCTTTAAAGGAGCAGGAGTCAAGGACAGAGGCCAACAAGAATAAACAAGCACATTGCAGCGATGGCTCTGTAACCAATTTTCTGCCCCTCTTTTAATGTAACAGATCCGTTTCTTCATTGCTTGCTTCCGAGGGGTAATGGTCACTTTAAAGAAAGCAGACAACACCGCCATCTGTTGCTGCTCAGAGCTGTTGCATGCTGTGGCCACTTGGAAGATGGCATTCTCTTGCTCTTGGCTCATCAGATGGTGCCAAGGCTACCAGTGTGCCGCAGAATACCTCTCTAGGTGTCCATCAGGCCCCTGATTTTTATTTGTTAAGGTTCTCTGCACCTGAGAAAAAAATTAGGCTGTCATGCTGCAAAGTGAAGTGCTTTTCTCCTCGGCCATCTTTCACTGGGTTCAACAGAGCAGTTTTCTGTTTTGGAGTTCAGACGGATCCCAGCTTGGCCCTGTGCTAAGATCCTTAGACATGCTGTCTTTCTTTTAGCCTCACCAGTTTGCCATCTGGGAAAGAATGTCTTGTGACTGGCTGTGCCCACCGTGGCAGGCATTTTATGAATGGGCCAGTCCCCCATGGCAGCCATTTTGTGAGGGAGTCCATGACACTTCCTCAACATTCCAAGTGATCAACATTTGAGGACCCCTTTAAGCATCATGCAGAGCACAATCCATGCCCCTGTCTTGGCAGAGGCCAAATTATGCATTGTTTAGCATAAAGGACATTTTTTTCATGGGGAAATATGGTTTTTGATGTGATTTCCCCCCCACTTCAGATATTGTTCCTTCAGTGCAATATGTATAGTGAAATATTGGTGCCATACTACTGTCTGGTCCAAAAGTATGGGGTGAAAAGAGTCTTCTGCATATTACAATATGTATAAACTCTTTTAAAAGTACTTCTGAATGCCAGACATTTTTAAAAAATAAATCAATGATTGTGTTTCTTTGCAGATCTTTCATCTCCATCAGGAATGGTACAAATGACTGTGCAAAACTATATGCGGTAGGTTTGTACGATGTGTTTCAAGGCACAATGTGAACTTTTGCACTTCTGCATTTCAGAATTCCAGATAGGCAATGCTATTAATTATGTAGAGAAACTCTTGATGTCTTAACTGTGGGATGGCAGGAAGAATATTTGCTAGCGTAATGATGGCATCTAAATTTCTCTAAAATTAAGCTTAATGTGTTATGTATAATTAGCCAGAATTGTATGTGGGTGTAAATGTAAAATGTTCATGCTAAAATATGGACTAATCTGTCATGCTGATACAAGCTAGTAACAAGGCAGTTAAGTGGCTCCTGTACACTGATGTATATATCTCAGCAACAGGATGTGGGGAGCAATTGGCCAGTTAGAAACTCCTTTTAGAGTTTCTAGGTTTTTACACTGCTTTACCAATACTGCTGGTTATTCTCTTGGTTTTATGATATGTGTATACTTTCTTAATTTGTATTTTATTTCTAGTTTGAACATCTCCCAGATAATTTTAGTTATTAGTTTGTTTAAAATTGTAATAGATACATGCACACAGAGTTTCTGCTTGGGAGTATAATTATTATTATTTACATTTCTATACGGCTGATAGCTGAAGCTCTCTGGGCAGTTTACAACAATATTCATAAAATTATACACTCAAGTCACCCATCCAAATCCTAACCAGGCCTTTTCCTGCTTAGCAGCCAATATTAGGCAGGATCAAGCACTTCAGGCTATGATGTTAACTAGTTGAACTGTTGTTAAAGTAGTCAGAATGCTTCTAATTTCTCATGTGGGGAAAGCTGGCCGCACATGCTACTGGCTGGTAACCATTTCCATTCTTCTGTCAGCCAATTTCAGCTGGTGTAATCAGAGCAGATCTGTATTCATGCCCATTTCCCAAGGTGACACACATATTGAAATGGAGCAGGCATTAATTCAGTCCTCATTGTAATATGAATTTACCTAATTTCTTACCTTCCAACTGACATGTGAACCAAAATACCATTATCTTCCAATCAAAAAATTCATATCCAGCTCTGTATATTGTATGTGTGCACACAAAATGCATATATTAGTGAAATATTAAAACACATGGTATTATGAACATATCTGACTAAAATGTATACAGCAGGCAAAACAATGCATCCGAAAGCAAAAATAAATAAAAAATAAACATCAATGGATGAACCAAACCTAAGAAAAATGGGGAACAGCAAGAAACTAAAATCGACCAATTCATGTATCCCAAATGCACAGGCACACAGCTGCTTGGAGAAAGCACATCAGCACAGTTGGAATTAGCCTTTCCTCATATGTTCACCTAGCATGTTCTCACCCATCAGTGTTCAGCCCTATGTGCCAGCTGGCTCGTGTCTCCACTGTACTTAAACACAGGATGGAAGTCTGTTGACTGTTTGAGAGGTGGGAGGGAGATGGAGAACATTTTGTGGTTTCCAGGGACAACACAGCCTGCCCTTTTGTAGCTCTTTGAAAACATCAAACTACTTAATAAATATACCAGATATCTGAGCACAGTAAGAGAAAAATGGGTGTAAGACATTCCTTCCAACATAGCTCATTGTATGTGATCTGCATGGAGCTTTATTAAAAGCAGTTATATCTTTCTGGAAAGTAGGTGGCTAGGAAAAGTGTGCTCCCCAAAGACTTCCAAAGATATGCCATCTGTCAAAAGCAAAGAAGCTCTGCCACCTTTATAATTAGCATTTACCGGTACCTAACACCTACATTCTAACACCTACTGTAACATACTGTTCCTGAGAACAAATGTGTTTGCCACAGTATCGTGCCTGCTTTTCGACTGAAGAGCTCCTACTAAGTAACATTTTGAACTAAAATAAAGATGCAAATGTTTACTCCAGAAAGGAATTATAATGACATCCCAGAGGACTTTGAGTGTAAACAACTTTCATTGCTGCTTTTCCTACCGTACAGATCCTTGCATCGGTTTTCAGAAATGCCCATTTTCTCAAGATGGAACAGCGGCAGCTCATCCCACTCTCTCCCCAATGCTCCAAAAAGGTCGGTATTGGTCAGATTTCAGTGCCCGTAGCAATTACGTTCTAGGCCACACATCTCAAAGTGCAGGCTGGATCTCAGCGGATGTGAACTCTTGGAGCATGTGAAGATCATTCACATGCTCTTCTATGACCCAGCTGAGTATGAGTGTGCTTATGTTTACCTGCGAATCTGACTGGTCCCTCTTTACTTGTCTGTCTCTTTTGGGGGCATTAGTATGTTTGCCATCCTGAGTGGCATTGCTAGTGTTAAGAAGCTTTCCTTTTTCATTTGAGTTGCATGCCCCTAATGAAACCTTTATCTGATTCCAATCAGGAATGTTCTATAAAAATCCAAATTGTCTGGCTATCCACTTTTATTCTGTGCTGCAGCAGTTATCAGGTAACTACACATATGGATAGTAACCCAATCTTCTGTTGATCCAAATGTTCTGGGTAATGTGTTTCAATGACTAGCTATATTCGTCTGAAATATACATGGAACTTTATGGCCCTGAAAGTTTTTCTCTCAATCAGATTTTAATCTGGTCTGGAATAAAATGCAAGTCCCTGTCTGCTACATTCTCACCCTCAATCCAGTCTTTCCTGCCAAGACCTCCTTTTTCCATCTGCTTTTCCATCTTGCTGTTCTGGTTGCAGCAGAAGGATGGACGGACGGACGGGCAGGATGTAGTTTTTCCCCTTTCCTAAGGCACTTGACACACAGCCTCTGAGCAAACTGCCAAGAGTCCTGGGAAATGTAGTTTTCCTAGTGCTGTGGTCCTTCTGCCTACTGAGATTATATTTCCCAGCACTCCTGGTGCTTTCTCAAAGCCACACTAGTGTGCTTGGTGCCAGAAAGGGCAGGCAGAGCATGAGATGTCTCTCTGCTTCACCACCAGAGCAGAAGCAGGATGAGTTTGTGCATGAGAAGGAAGAGGTTTGTCCAGAGGCAGGTGAGCAGAGGGGTGAGATAGAACAGTCTGGAAGCTCAAGAGAAATGGTGGAAGGACCAGCCCCTTTAGCATCATTGGTGGGAAGAGTGGGAGTACTACACCATCTGAATTGGACTTAAGGTGAAATTGAAGAATGGTTCCAAGTGTGACTTTTTGGGGTGGGGGGGTCAATCATTCAGGGTTAAATTCCTGTAATACCCACATTCTATCTCTGAGAAAATAATCTTTTTTATGCTGTTACCTTAGATTTGCTTGGTGTTCCTTTTGCCAACTATTCAAAAGACATTATTTAGCTGTAAAATATGATGATGATGATGATGATGATGATGATGATGATGATGATGATGATATAGGAAAGCTATACATTAGCTGAATGAAATGAGAGTTCCTATCAACCAGGCTAAATAATTTCTGTTGCCATTTCCTCCGTAGTGTCACTGAATGGCTAGATTACTGGGACAAGGATCCAGTTGAGATTCTGCTGGATTTGGGGTTTGGTAGAGATGAACCAGACATCTGCACTAAAATCCCTTCTCGGTTCATCAGTTCTCCATCCATGGCTAAAGGAATCAACATCCGCGTTTTTATTGAAGCCCAAAGACAGCGCATGGATATAGAAAATCCCAATTTATGTGGTAAGCAAAGGAAACTTCAACTTACTTCCAGATAAAGATTTAGAGTGGAATGACCATTTTATGGGAGATGCGAGAAGGCTTGACCCATGTTATCATCCCTTTATAATCATCCTGTGTTTTCCTAGGATGGGTCATTTCCATAGTTTTCATGTGGGAGAAAGTCTAAGATTTCTGGAAGGATGGACATAGAGGCTCTTGCATCCTTTTTTGTTAAGTGCTGTTTTTTTGATGTGCACATTATAGCTTTTGTAGTGGGGGTCCTTTGTTTAAGTAAGTCATTTATTATTTGTTCATTTGATCTTTTAAATAGAACTAAAACACTTTTCCATCTACACTTGTTTTTTAAGAATTAAAATAGTAATAAAATGTCACTTAAATGAAAGAGTGTATTGAATTAGATCCCTATAGGGCTACAATGCAATAAACATGTCAAAAGAGTCAGGGACCCCTTTCCAGTCACCACCAGTTTATCTGGATGGTTAATGGCAGTGATCACAAAGGTCTTTTATTTTTAAATATCCAGATGCACTTTATAGAGTTTATCGTGCTACAAGCCTAACGTGCTACTTTAGAGAAAGTGTATCGTAGCATTATCAAGGTATAACACTAATAAACCAAGCCCCATTAGAAACTGGGCATTAATGAAATCACAGAGCAGAATGGAATCTTCATGACTCATCCATCAGTGAAAAAACAAGACACAATCTAAAAATTGCAGCAAACCACTCAGGCACAGCTGTTTGAACAAAGTCCAGCAATTCTTTAAAAAAGAAGAGCACTGAACTGCTAAAGCACACGTGTGCTGTCCCATAAACAAGACGGGAAGGCCAACATCTGGACAGAAATTTGGATGAAGCGATTTAAGTGGCTCTGGGCTATATCATTCCTTTAGTCTTCTTTGCAAAGGAGTGCTAACAGTCTTCATGACAAATGCATTTGGTAGCTCCCAAGGAAAAGCAGCAGCCAAGGAGTCTGGCATTTTCCACCTTGTTCTTTCCAGCAGTTCTTTCAAAAATGGGAACAGCACCTTTGACATACAGGAAGGGTGAATCTAAGCAACACTGTCTTTTCCAGATACACATGGATCTAAGAAAAAGGCCAAAAGCTGAAGTGACGGTCAGCAGCAATCAATAAATTCCACTGCCATTTGAAAGCTTTCATAGCCAAATTGTAGAACAATATTTGCCCTACCACTCTAAATGGGCTTAAACAAAACCTGTATGGAAGTTTTGCAGGCCAACCAGTAAAGCTGTAATTTGCTTTATTTGCTGATATTCTACTCCTACCCACATAGCTTCCTGTCTTTCCCTTACACAGCTTCCTGTTACTCTGAAACCAAAAGCATAGCCTCTATGACTTCTAGTGGTTAGCACAGTGAACTATTCATTCAAATCAACTGAAGTATATAGTTACTATTAATAAACTTTGCGAAGTATTCTTGGATAACAGCTGGCCCTCAGTATCTTAAAGGGTTTTATGACAATGTTCCCTGATTCAGAGTTGCTTTCTGTATGGCCCCATTCAACACCATTATGCACCTGCCTTGTTACTGAAAATGACAATGTGACCTACTATATAGTAAGCTGAATTAGTGAAGCTTCTAAATTGGTTGAGCTGGTGTAACAACACAAGATGTTCACCAAACTTCCACAATAAGCAGAGCAATAAGTTGCCAGACCGTGTTACATTTTAAATGTTTAATGCATTCTGCCTTTGAATCCTGTTTTAGATGAAGACATGGCTCCTATATTATTAATCAACCAATATGTTTTTGGAAGATAGTTTCTCTAAAGCAGGGATTCCCAGGTTTGGGTGTCCATACCCCCTGCGGGTGTGAGATGGCGTTTCAGGGAGTGTGACAAAGAGGAAGGCAAAAAGGAAGATTTTTTTCACCAAAAACTATCCCAATAATAAAAAATACTTATTATTATCTGGTTTACATTTGGATTCAGTTCTCTTTTGTCAGTCAAGGCAAAATGTAGGAATTGCCAGAATCCACAGGCAGATTTGTGAATCACAATTAGCAAGAAAGTTCCATGTTTTGACAAAATCGCGAATGAGATGCAGGAACAAAGAAGTCATTGAATTTTATGTCCACAGTTGGGATTGACTTTACTGTTTACAATTTTTTCTAATTGCTCAGTTCATAGTTGATGTTTATGCACTGAGTTAAAAGCTTATTTTTTAGCCCAATTTGTTCACCTGCAGTATTGTATGTGATTCAATTTGTGATTCAAAAATTAGAAATTTGACTTCATCTTCAAATGTGACATTACTTTTGTAAGGGGTGCAAACATAAATCAAACATTTTCTAGGGGTGCAGGGCATAGAAAAGGTTGGGAGCCACTGCTCTGAGAGAAGGAGAGATCTATTTGGCCTATATGTAACTATAGCATTAGGACTACCTGATTTAGAGCTGAGTTAAAATACAAGAATACAAACATGGAATATTGGCACTAATGGTAAAGCCTGGCCAATAAAAGGACATGGTATATAGGCAAAATTCATGCTTGGATCCACCTGTAGCCTTTAAGAGATCAACTATACATTTAGTCCAAAGAACTAAATATTATTTAGCCATGTGGAATCTGTTTTTCCCTAAGCAATTACTGTGTAGCTAGACTGAGGTTTAAATGGCACAACTATGTAGAAAATAACTGACTGACTTTAATAAAAGGACTGTTTTAAGGTTTTGTTTGAGTCTGCTGGAGAAAGAGAGAGGGAAACGACCAACTGATGTTGGATGCTGGCACTGGGTTGGAGAAGGCAGGACTGGGATAAAATGTTAGAGGCTCCAACACAAGATGTGAAGGTGTCAGGTGGAGACTTTTAGTTTCAGTGGGCAAAGGCAGCAAAAATCCACTCCAAGCCACTAAAACGCAGTAGTGCAAGCCATTCATAACTATTTGATGGAGTCCGTTTGTATTTGTCAAGAAGCACAGAGCTGAGTATTCTAAACGTTCTTCCTTCTTCCAGGTTGTAGTTTGCCACTGGTTTATTGTAAGTATGAGGAGCAGGGAAATCCGATGTGTTTGCCTCAGACTCTTTTTGTGAATGAAGCATGATTAACAAAAATTCCAGGTTGTTGGCTGGCTTACCATTCCATCGCTTTGATTTATTACTTTTATTCGATTTATATCCCAACTTTTTCTTTTTTAAAGAATCCAAGGTGGCTTACATCATTCTCCTCCTGCACTCAATCATATCCCCACAAAAAAGTCCCTGTGAGGTAGGTTAGGTTGAGAGTAGGTGACTGGCCCAAAGTCACCCAGTTGGCTCCATGGCTGTGCAGTGACTACAACCAGGATTGCCTGAGTCCCAGTCCTGCACCCTTAACCACTACACCACACTGGATCTCAGCCAGGCTGGGGGTAATACACATTTGCAGTATCTTTATCGTGACCAATCTGCTCCAATCTGCTCCTTAGGTGCCTTGGATGCCCTTCTAATCAAGCGACTTCCCTCTGTCCATCTTTCAGGCTCTGGGTGCATGTGTTCCCACAGGTACAGCTGATATTAATATATGCATACACTGCCATGTATGAGACGGCCATAGGGTGTGGCTGGTGAGAGCAGCCCCCTTGCATTGCTAACATATGATCTGGGCTGTAGAAGATCAGCCCTTCCTTAGTACACTAAAGCTTCACAGGATCAGCCTATAACTCAGCAACATTTATTTTCATCTCTCTCAAACTGAAGGGCGTTTTCGGCAATTGCAAGTCCTGGATCACGTGGCAAATGCTTTTTCCTCTTTGCTGAATGATGTCAACGCCTTGCAGCAGAAGTCAGAAGAGGGAAACCAAGAGAAGAACACAGGAAACCTGCCTAGGGAAAAACCAGTTCTCACCCAGGCAAAGAGGAGAAGGCTAGGCCAGCTTCTGAGAAAGGTGTCTAGACAGACGACGATGCATGGCCCTCCCGCATACAGAAATACTGGTGCATTCAAGAACAAAGATGAACCCTCTGCTGGTACTGAGGCAGATCTACACATACCAGCCAGGACTGGCTTGCCTGACAATGCCTTGATTTCTCTAAAAGAAGTGCCGGTCCCAAATGAGGAGGAAGAGGCTATGACTGTATCCTGGCCTCTGCAATCCAGAGCTCGTAAAACTTGGCTGTTGCCTCAGCTCCCTATAAAACAACCCCACCTTCCTTCTGCTTCTGAGATGCTTCCTAAAGACTGGCCACGCAAGGATCTCAGTTTGCGCTTGACCCATCGGCTCAAGAGAGTTTCTGGCTTAAGCTGGAAGCCTTCAGATTCCTTTGAGATGGAAGAGGTAAGGCAGACAGTTCTATCTTGTACATGGATAGGAAATGAAGGTGTATTATTTGAGTAATTTAGCTTCTAGAAGAAAAACCTAAACGAGATTGCTTTCACATTGTATTTATTTATTTAGCGAGCTTCTATGCCGGCCCATTCGCCGAAGCCTTGGGGCGGCTCACAACACATTTACAGTAAGTTAGATCTCAGCCTTGCTTCTTCAGGGAATGGGGAGGAAGTCACAAAAGGCAGTGCTATAGTATTTTATCCCAATCCATTTGGCTCATTTTCTGGTCATGTGCAGAATAGTGATTAGGGGGGCATTCCAAGTTCTGTCAACTTGTACACTAAATGGAAGTCTAGAGGTAAACTGTCCTTTCCGGATGGACAAGATGGACATCCTTTGTTTTGTTTGACCGTTTGTTTTAGATGCTATCTTGTGAGCAGTGCAGCATGACATGACCACAGTGGAATTTAATGTAGCTTTACAAAGTATGACAGCTACAGAGAAATAGAATTGCAAGATAGTTTGGTGCAATGCTCATATTTTATTGATCTCCATGGAATGCTTTTACTTTAAGTCTTAGTGTTTCTTTAGCTTCTTTGCCATGCTACCTTTTTTGGTTAAGGTCATCATTACCTTTCATTTGGAGGTTTAAAACCCATAAAGACAACAAATTCATATTTATCTTGTTGGATCAACTAGATGTATTGGTAAAAGAGAGCACTTCCTATGTCATGTGGCCAGGTGCAAAAGAAAGCAGGACTGTTGTATCGCAGGAACTTCAGCAGGTGGTAGTGTGATTACAGGTAGTGTGTTCAGCAGGTAGTGTGAACTGCTAAAATACAGAAGCTCCATCCAAAACATGTTTCTCACCTTAGGCCAGCCCAACCTGACTGCAATGAGAACCCATTAGGGGTCAACAAAACTCCCATTTCTCAATAAAGGGTAGAGAACAGGGAACAATTTTGGCCTTGTTGGAAGAGAAAGAGAGAGGAGAGATTGTCAGACACCTTGCAGTGTTGCACCTTGGGATAACTTTAGTGGGATTCATTCCTTTCGGTGGATCATAAGCGTCATATATCTGGATGACTGTATCACTGGATTTTACTGATTGCCATTACGTAAACAGAGACCTGCAACAAAAAAATTGCAGTGTATCTTCCCTCTGACGAGGAGTGCTTCTGTTCAGGCTCCCAAGAAGCCATTCTCTCCAAGGAGGAGATGCCTCTTTCCCCTCTCCCTGAAATCTGTGTTTCTTTTCCAACTGATGGGCAACATGCCATAACTGCTCAGGATGCTTGGACTTTATCGGGTGTTTTTGGAGACATGGGAGTTGTACCTGAAATTGTTGAGGTTTAAAAATGTTTTTGTACTCCTGCAAACCTCAGGGTTTCCTAAACATGCCCATACCACCTGCTTCTCAGTGGGCCTCGTTCGGCTTCATTTCCGTTCATGCCCCCCACATGGATTCCTGATAGAGGGAGTAATTTCCAGTTGGCAACATTGTGCTTTGACCCAGCACTAGTGGCATGTGGAAGGGAAATGTGTTACAGGCTCTAACTTACCTCTAGAAACTCAAACTGCTTTGAGAAAGAGGCACCAACAATAGTGAGACATCTGGAAGGTTTAGTGTTGCTTTGGTTTCAAATCCTAATGTCAAAGAGAAGAAATATACTTTTAATAATAAAAAAACAAGCTGCTTTAAAGAGTGTTTTTTTCCCTGTTTCAGATCCAGAGCTTTGAGGATGAATCTTCTTGGGGAAATCCTCTTGAAAGCACTTCAGGTGGGTATTAACAAACGTAATAGCTCTACATAGTTTTGCAAATTTGCAATGAGGAGAGTTTCGAAAATATAAGTGCCAGAGATAGGAACTGACTGGTCAACCAGATATTCCCTCAGACTCGAAGTCAGCTGTACTATCTTGATGGAGGGCTTTACATGGTTTGATGGGATGCTTGCTAGAGACAGGCTGTAAATCAACAGGGTAACTGGTCTGAAATTACTTAAGGGGCTAGCAAATGTTATGCAGATGTTACTGTACTGAAAGTGGAAGGTACACAAAGGCATACACCTTCACCTCTGACCTTTCCATGTTGACCAAGAAAATTTGGAGAGAGACTACAATGTTCACATGAACCTACTTACAATCGTCCATATGCCTGGGAATCCTGATTATGCTGATCTTCCCCAATCATTCAGCTCAATGCATTTTCAGGGTCTCTCCAGACATCCCTAGTTAGCACAGAGAAATCTGGCAGAATGTGTGGTTCTGGGGCTGGGGCCAGAACATGTGTCCTCGTGTCTCATCCACATTTTCAATTTCATAATATTTGCCTGAGCTATCAAAAATTAAGGGGGTTCAGCTGAAGGGTCAGTAAGTCACGTTCAGTGAGCCTTTAATGTTTGTCTTTCCTAAGAGCAATTCTTATTTCTGGAGGGGACAAGGTAGAGGCTGGAGAGTTCCTAGTTGAGATTCGACCCAGGTGCTTACAGCTTATGCTTTGCACCTTTTACTACTCCATTCTCAAGCTCTGCATTGTTTATTTGGCCAATATTTATTTATTTATTTGACATATTCCACAGTTAAATTAAATTAACTTCCACAGTTAAATTAAACAGGACACTCTAAGCAAAACACTGGTAGCCTTGTTCAGGGGCAAGCAAACTGGTTCCCTCAGATTGAGGCTACATTTCCCATCATCTGGTCCTCAGCCAGAGTTGCAGTCCAAACCATCTGGAAGGCACCCTGCCTGGGGAAGGCTGCCAGAGGTTCAGATGTAAACCTTCTAGACCAGTCTTTAGATGGCAGCATCTTTCAGTGGTCAGATGTCTATGCTGAAGATACCGCTGCTGAGTTTTCTTGGTGCTGGTAGTTGTGACCACAGGTTTGGAAATGACAATGGTGGCATCACTCCCTTTTATACTATACAATCTGATATACCTGTTGTTGTTGTTGTTGTGTGCTGTCAAGTTGGCTTCAACTTATGGCAACCCTATGAATGAAAGCCCTCCAGAATGCCCTGTCCATCACAGCTCCATCCAGCTCTCCCAAGTTCAAGCCTGTGGCTTCCTTTATGGATTCAGTGCACCTCACTATTGGCCTTCCTTTTCTTCTCCTGCCCACAACTTTCTCTCATATAATTGTCTTCTCCAGGGAGTCTTGCCTTCTCATGATGTGCCCAAAGTATGACAGCTTCAGTGTTGTTGTTGTTGTTGTTGTTGTTGTTGTTTTTTGCTTCTAGGGAAAGTTCTGACTTGATTTGATCCAGGACCCAATTTTTTGTCTTTCTGTCAGTCCATGATACTTGCAAAGCTCTCCTCTAGCACCATGTTTGGAACGCATCAATTTTCTTCCCATCAGCTTTCTTCACTGTCCAGCTTTTACACCCATACATTGTGATTGGGAATAAAATAGTATGGATGGTCTTGGCCTCCAGTGCAACATCCTTATACTTGATGATCTTTTCTAGGCCTTTCATTGCTTGCCCTTCCAAGTCTCAGTCTTCTTTGAATTTCTTGGCCGCAGACTCCTTTTAAATTGATGACTGAGCCACAGGTTATCTTTTCTACTTCCTCCATTGCTAGGCCTTAATCAATTTTAAAATTATGACTCGGAATGAACACAGACCAGATTTCCTTGATTTGCACTTTGTGAGACAAACTTTTAACATATAGAATATCTGCTTGGTTGCAAGTTGGACTGGTCATTTATTCATTATGACTCTTATTGAACCAGCATGAAATCGCATGGGGTGGACTTTTATTTTTTGATTTGCCTCATTGCATGCGTTCAATAAATTTGGGGAAATGAGTGTTGGGTGGGATTTATGGTGAAGTTGACATTGTTATTGGCAGCGTGCCCATGGCTGTTGGAAATTCAACAGGTGATGTTTCCTCTGTAGAGGTGATACATCTGGGAGAAGCTGGTGTTTGAGTTGGGAGGCAGACACACCAGCAAAAATAAGCAGAGAACTGTGGGCCTCTGTGAGAATGACCCCTTGCCCAAACTAATAATCCAGGCCAAAAGCAGGCAATTTATTAGATCGGAATTCTTGATAGAATCAATTTCCAATGTTCCTTGGCTCTCTGGTCAGGCCTCTGCCCATATCCAGTTGCTTAAATCTTGAATCTAGACAAACCACCAGTGGAAGAACATTTATTGGCTTCTGTGTGTCATTTCTCCTGAATGGGAGTCTGTCTGTTTAGCTGCACCAGGCTGCCTGACACTCCTCTTTGCCTTTCTTTTAGCAGAATGCAGAGACAGCATTCTAAACCACCCTCAAAGCATCCCTAAATGCCTTACAAAGAAATCCAGAGCATTTTAGAGCTATGGTGCTTGCGCACACACACGTGTGTTTAAAAAAAAACCAAACCCAAAATATTACAATTTTTATTAGGCAATTTTATCATTGTTATAAATAAGTAATTGTACTGGGGAGAAGGGATAATCCTTATTTAATTAAATTCATCTATACTCCCAGGTTGGCAGCAACCAGACATATGTGAGACTAATACCCACAGCCTGCCTTGTATGCATGTGCAATTAAAAATTCACTCTACAGTAGCACTGGCAGTTTAGTGTTGCTTTTGGCATTTACAAATTCTTTTATTTTGTGACTTTTTTCCCACCATACACATATGCTGGAGCAGATGTTGCTTATTTGTTGTTTATTCAAATCTGTAAGCTCTGGCAGCCAACGCCATTGTTCAGTAATGAAGCTTTGCTCACTGTCCTGTATTCAGAGGACCCGGAAAATGTCTGACGGGCAGTTAGCTCCCAGCAGGAGTCTGCGCTCGCTTTACTGGCAACTGATCTATGGTAAAGCTCCCACTTGAGGCTGCCGGACTGTGCAAAGGGGCCGAGGGAGGCCAAATAAAATGGAGATCGGAGCCTCCCGGTCCTGCTTGCTCACCCTTGCATGCGCCCACGGACAGGTTGTAAGGATTTTGTGCTCAGTACCTGGGGATGGACTTGTTTTACACACAGACACATGTTTGCCATTTTCCACCAAGCACTCGGATGTAACTTGAATACATTTCGGCGTTCTTTCGCCCCTGTTAGCAGAACACAGGGTTGGACATGCAGCTGTCACAGCCTCCAACCATAACCGGTGCTCACTGGTGCTGGTGTTGCTTGCTTCTCCATCCCTCCCTGGGGTCAGCATTCTGGAGGACGCCCCCTTTCCCTCCCTGCTCCAGCTGTGGCCAGGTGGTCTTTCCAAGGGGGGCTTGACCAAAGGAAGGAGGGCTGATCCTCAAGCAACAGTGCCAACTTGACAGTCTTTGTGGACTGAAAAGTCGCCTTAGTAGCCTAAGAGACCATCAATCAGTGAAGTAACCACCTCCATCTGGCACACAGTAGCCTGGAAACTCACTTTCACAGCATTTGTGATTCATCTTGTCCCAACACGTGGTGCCAGGGACTGAACCACACTCAAGTCTTTCCAGCAGCTGGGTACGTTCTATCTCCCTAGCATGCTGAACTGACACATTAGCTCCCAAGACTTACTTGAGTGGCAGTTCTTTTAATTATCACACTTTCACCACCACCACCACCACCACCACCGCCACTCCTCCTCCTAACCATCTCTTCACATACAGTTGAGCACATGGGAATATCTGCAGAAGGCAATTGGCATTTTTCTTAATTGACTGTGTTCCAATAGTGTGAATCTTGTTTATTATCCCCCTGTAAAGTACATATGGGAATGATGTAGGGAGAGAGAGAGAGAGAGAGAACACCCGAATATTTTCCTGTTTCTGATGGCACCATGGCAAGTTCTGTTGGTTTTTGCAAATGGTGGATGTTTGCCAAATGCTAATGATTGGAGCAAAAAGTATTATGTCCTTATTATTCCTCCCCACTTGTCATGTTTCTTGAAAACATGCGTCATAGGTTTCCTAGGAAATCCGATGATTCCTTTCCTTTTCTATATAAAACACATTTTTCACATTTTAAACTATAACACTAGGGAAGGATCTGACATGTTTAATGTCCAGGCCTGTCTTGGGTTGGGACAGCTATTTATTTATTTTTCAGAAATAAAGTTAAGATTATATCATATTATCATATCAATATCATATTATCCTTTCCTTCCAGCTCTTGCCCAGCTGCTATAATATGAAGGACATTGAGTGGGCTTATATGAACTGAAACAAGCTCTGCCTTGATATTTTGGATTACAACTCCAGCATTCCTCATCTGTGGCTATGCTGGGTGGAGCCAGTGAGGGCAAGCCTCACTAATGCATAGGATGCAGGAGATAAAACTCTTGGGTAGCAGATGTGATTGCACAAAGCTGGACCTGCACATCTGGGGATGGGGGCTGATAGCTGGTGTCACCATCAAGTAGCCGGAAGCAGCAGGGGGGGCGGGGCGGATTTCGGAGGCAAAGCTCTGAAGAATGTGGTTAAGTATTTGCCAGCCGCCCACCCGCAATGCCCGAATGGCTGGGCATGTCATTTGTCAGTGTTGAACCGGGAAAGTTCCTCTTTGATGCTGAAGGCTTGCAAGACAGGGCCCGGGGAAAGATATGTCCCGGGTTGTTCATGGCTGCTGCTGGATGGTGCATTGCAGCATTCCCACAAGCTGTTGTGTGGCAGTTCAGGAGGTAGCGGGTGGGAGGTCAGCACTGTCTGCGTGCAGCTGCTGCTGGACATTCTGCACAGCGCTGCCCCCTGCCTGTGATACCACCACTTGACCCAGGCCGGCTCTACTATTGGGTAGAGTGAAGTAGTGGCCACCGGCATGGCATGGCATGGCAGCAGGGGGTGGAAAGGCCT